CGAGTACATCGGACGCCAGGAAGTCTTTTCATTTATTGTTATTTAATTTTATATTAATTATAGGCTCAGGGGTTCAGAGGTTCAGGGGTTCAAGGGTTCAGGGGTTTAGGGGTTTAGGGGTCCAGGGTATTGCGTCCGATCAAGGCACGTCATGGTGCAGGCCACGACCAGCCGCGCCTGGCAGACCCTTGCACCCGGGCCCGACCTTGGCGGGGGTTTGGGCTTCATGTGCTACACGGCGGTCAAGTCGGAGGAAGGCGGCGGCGGCGGCGGCTTCGACATTAGCAAGGAGGACACATCTGCCCTCGTGAACTTCTTGGCCCGGAACCACGTGTTCGCTGCGCAGGGGGATCCGTTCCTTCCGGATCCCGTTGCATCCCTGTTCCCGGTTTCTTCGTCCACGCACGCAGCGGCCACGTTGGGTTTTTTTGCCCTCAAGCAGCTCGACATGGACATGCTCGAGTTCAGCTGCGAGGGCGTCATCAACCAGTCACCGCCGGTTCTCCATGCGATGGGGTACTTCTGGATGCTCAAGGGCAATGACCTGGCAGAGCGGATCCGCACCGGCAACTTGAAGGTACGCAGGTCCGGGATCGAGATGGTCATCGTGAGCATGAGCAACCCCAGGAAGCACTCAGACATGCTCCTTGAGGCTCAGCGCTCCAAGCTGGTGGAGCACAAACGGCGCTTGAAGGAACAGGTGGACGTCTCCAACAAGCAGCTCCGCCGCGACCAGGATGCCCTCGCTGCCGTTGATGCCCAGCTGCGGCGTCTCCCAGGCTCCTAGGCTCCCAGGCTCCAAGGTCCATGTGGCGCCGGCTTGGTGTCGTCATGTTTAGATGACTCATCAGCATCATAGTAGGATTTTGATGCTTCCTTACTTTGCTGCCAACTTGATTTAAATGGACATGTAAAGCTCAAGCCGCTCGTCGACAAACTGTGGCAGGGCCCACGACTACAACGGACCGCTGTCGACGTCAGTTTGTGTTTGTTTGCAGCATGTCCTGCACTGCAGCAGTCTTATTGCCTTGCGCTGCACCGCAAGACTCCAAACGGTTCCGTGGAAGGCTCCTCGGCTCCCAGGTTCCCAGGCTTCTGTACTCGCGCTCAATGGCAAAAGTGCCGGATTTGCCCACCGACCCAACCGTTCTGAGCTCAGCATTTTCGGAGCAGTATGACGTGTGTGATGATGATGTGTGGCACGCCATGTGAAGCAGGCCAGTGCTCAAGAAGCCCTGGCAAACATCGTGCCATGGGCCCTTCGCTGAGTTCTTGATACCGTGTCCCGTCTCGCGGCTAACAGTGCTGCATGCCGTGCCTGCCCGAGGTCCGCAGCCAGCTCCCTCTGAAATTTCCGCAGGCCAAGCAGATGTTCAAGACACCGCCGCTTGCCATCAACGCAGAAGCCAAGATGGGGGATTTGACCGGATACAAGGCGGGCGCATGTCGCTCAATGTCATTTATTATTGTTTGACCGTTGTCGTTTGTCAGGCTGTGTGGAGCAAAGATGACTGCCAAGCGTCCCTGACATCATCTGGACTTTACGAAGCCATTGGCCTCGCGCTGTGGCTGGCCACCGAAGCTTTTGCCAGTGCGTCTGAGGATGTGTGCTGGCAGGATATCCAAACTTTCGAAGACGCTTTCTTCTCCAAGAAAGTTGCTTTCAGCACAGTTGTATCGCGTGAAGCTGCCAAGAAGAAACAAAAAACGTCACGAAACCGGCTGACGTGGCCTTGTGCGATGATTGTCCTCACGGAGTCAGCATCTGACGTGATTCACGAAGAGTTCAACAGCTCGTTGCATCTTGCTAGCGGCGTGTTTGTGTTGTGGGCTTGGTACTTGGCCGTCTTCAAAGGCCTAGTCTCCCAGGACAGTTGCTGCTTGTGTTCACATGACATGACATGTTATTGATTCATCTGACTGATGTGTGCTTGCACTTGGCAGGACAAAGCAGTTTTGGAGATTTTGTGGGAGTGTGGCTGCACTGTCACGATACAGGTTCTCTTGTGTTCCAGCGCAGGGGAGATTGCGAAGAGTCGCAATCTTGCTTCAGAGAAAGTCAAGGCACTCGGGCACCCTGGCCTGTCCGACACCTTTTGGACATTTGCAAAGACTGTCCAGCTGCTCAAGGTCGAAAAAGTCCAGGCTGGTGAGGAACAGAACTTGAGGTACAACAACACCTTGTACAACAAGGCCTTACACCAGGCTGCCACAGCAGCTGTTGCAGTGCTGCGGGGTCCATCCGGTCCCGTGGAGAAGGCTGACCGGAGATTGGAGCTGGAATTTGGGCGGGGCATCTTGAGCAGTCAGTACTCGAAGTTGAGCAAGCTGTTATCGCTGACCAACAAGCTCGCATCTGCTACCAGAAACGCTGTAGACCTGACGGCCTGGATGATCGACTCCTTGACTCTGGCCCTGCGCATGAACATGGTCACGCCAGCTAAATGCACCGAGAAGTTTCTGGATCGAGACCGGAAGACAGGCGATGCTGGCTTTTGGTTGTCGCGCATGCTGGTGGTGCAGGCATTGTAACTATTCTGACTAGCGTGTGTATTTTTTTTTTTCGGAGTGTTGCAAGTCATCGGCAGCTTGAACACTGACAGAGGTCTTCGATTATGCAGCAAAGCTGGCGAACAAGTTGCCTGAGCCGGACAAGGTTAAGCTGATAGGGATTTTGGCTGAACTCCGTTGCCCTTCCACATGTTGGGAGAAATATCTCTGCCATGCTGATGCTGATCAAGGGGCTGCTGGAGAGGACGACATGGACGGCGAGGACCCAGAGGACGTGGAGCGCCCTGTTCCGCAGTCCAAGATTGGAGCTGTTAAAGAGGGTTTCAACAAAGCCATTGGCATGCTTTTGGATTTGCTGCTGGAGCTGATGTCGGGGAAGTACTACAAGGATTGCTGCATGCTGGCTTCGAGTGAAGATGGCCTTGCAAAGGCATTGACAGCTGCACAGCTTGGAAGCTCGGATGACACGGAGCACGAGGAGCCATGTGCGCTTATCACTCAGATTAAGATCATTGTCGACAAGTTCGACAACAGCACGAAGTCCGTTGGTGCCACATCTGCGGCTCCTGCTCCGAGTTTGCTCCAAAGCCTGGCCAATGCTTCTGAAGCTGACACACCCGAGGAATGTGTCGAGCGTGAGCGGCAGTGGAAGGCGGTGCAAACGGAACGCCGCAAGTTCGTGTCGTTCTCGGTACCGAACAAGATCTCGAAGGACTGCATAGTCAATGCGTTCAGAGGTTGCGGCAAGGTCTTCACGCACAAGGGCACCTTAAACTCTTCGCACCGCCTGATCGTTGCCAGTGCGGATCTCTTGGCAGAGGCTGGTACCGGCCCGTGGCTCAAGGGCACTCCGCCAAGCGAGGAATGGAAAGAGATCTGTGCCTTTGCCAAAGACATTTCTGGGCCCGAGGATTTCGTTGTACTCTTCGACGGCAGAATGCGGGAAATTCGCCGCGTGTCCGAGTCTTGGCGGGGTGATGTGACAAGGCGCCCAGGCTCCAAGGCTCAAAGGCTGCACCTGGTTCTTTAAGGAAGACCTCCTGCTGAACCAGCAGCACACCGAGGAGTGCACCATCGTGTACTCAGGTGGGTGGCCGCCGAGAACTGGTCGCACTCGCCGCGTTCCGCTGGCTGCAAAGAAGGTGGAGACAGGAGCGGTTAAGTTCCCGGTCGCACGCACCAAGATTCAGACGACGAAGAAAGGCTCCTTCACAGTCTGCGGCGAGGCTTCTACGTACCAAGTCACTTACTCAGGCGTGGAGTACCGTGCGGTTTCTGAAATGCCCCTCGTGTCTGCAGACACCAAGAAGAAGATCATTGCTCCGGCAACAACCGGCGACCTCCCGACACCGCCAGAGGACTGGCAGGATCGCCACGGCTCCGACGTACCCTTGTTCTGGAACGAGGCGAAGCCGATAGCATATTGGAATGCCATCATTGAGGAGTTTTGCGCGGAGGCAGTGTTTGACCTCACGGCTGGCACCGGTGCTCTGATGGAGGCTTCTTTGACTGCCGGCATCGCATACCACGGGCTTTGCAGCACCCTTACTTGTCCAGTAGATTCGTCAGATCATTGTCATTTGATTTTATTTAAATTATCCGAGGCCTCAACAAGGAGCACATGTCGTGGGTCCATGCGGTTGCTGATCGCGCAGCTTGCGGAATGATGGCTTTGGAGGGATCCACTCTTTACTCGGACGAGAATGCCAAGGCGGTGAAGAAGCATTTCCCGCACGTTCTGGAGAGATTGTCCAACCAAGACGACCAGGACGAGGCACCTGCTGAGCCAGATAGCCCCCGCGATCAACCGCAGTGATGATGTTTCACTTCGACCGAATCCGCCAGCTCAGGCACCAGCTCGGGCACCTAGGCTCCCAGGTTCTCAGGCTCTTGACCTTTTGCCGGGCTCAGTTTTGTCAGTAGTGTGTAGCAGTGACTACTGTCGCCTGAAAAAGCCGAAATGCTCTTATTGTGGCATGACATTGAAATAGGACTCGCCGAGGATGTTGTTGTAGTCGCCTGAATGCATTAAAGCGAGCCGTTATGGCCCCAGGTTCCCAGGCTCTGAGGTTCCCTGCTTGGGTTCGACATGGGCTGCCGATGGAGGCCTACCAGACGCCTCTGGGGCAAAACCAGTCTCAAGACGGCTTCTCGTCGGATGCCCCGGGGGTGCCAGCATGGTGGCAGCAAATCGCAGAGCTTGCGGAAGCAGGCTGTGAAAGACGGCTTGGTCCCCAAGGCTCGAAGGGCCTTCGTCATCTGGTTCCAGGAAAACTCCGAAGTCAAGAAAGGCGCTCCCAAGCACGAGTTTCTCAATGAGATGAAGCATCTTGGCGCAGTCTGGCAGGGCATGACCGACAAGCAGAAGGCACCATTCATGGCGAGGAGCAAAGATGAGTTCATGGCTCAGCGAAGTGCACTGGCCGTTCTTGGCATCAGGATGCGGGGCTCCACGACCAGTGCGGGCGGCCCCGACGAGGCGAAGGACCCCCCTGCCGCTGACGAATCTGGCGGTCGCGTTGGCCCATTTGAGCTTAATGGTGCAAGGGCTCCAATTGGAGGCGGAGCCTATGGCAGTGTCTACAGTTGCCAGCATCCGCAAAGCGGCCTTAACGTGGCGGTGAAGGTTTATCGTGGCTCCGATGGCCCCGCGGATTGCAGGCACGAAGTGGAGCAGATGAAGCTTCTAATGAAGGCCGTTCCGCAGCAGAAGATGATGTGGTTCCCGCTTCTTGTCAGCTCGGGTGTCACGGGCAGACCTTGGCCATGGATGGCTACTAGCCTATGTGGGCCCAGCCTGGCAACCGCACTTCGAAATCCTGCGGCGCATGGCAAGCCGAGGACGTGGTCTGTGGCAGCTCAGCTGAGAAGTGCACTGCAGACCTTGCATGACGCAGGCATCCTACACTTGGATGTGAAACCTGGCAATGTTCTTTGGTGCCCTTGCACAGATCAGGTGCAGGTGTGCGACTTCGGCATGAGTGAGAACATGGCACGGCTCCAGAAGGCTTCTCAGGCTCCCAGGTTCCTGCAGTATGTCACGGCTGCCTATCGACCTCCGGAGCTGTGGCCCGCTCGTGTGAATGGCGATGGAGACTGCGGTGTCAGAAAGCAGCTGCTGACTGCAGCTGTGGATATGTGGGCCTATGCTTGCGTGGTGTTTGAGGTGGAGACCGGGAATCCCTTCATGCCCAAGGGGGAGGCCGGACTGAGAGCGTGGTGCAAGCAGTGGCCCGAGCTGTGGAAAACACGCAGCGACTTAGCCAATTGCCCCGCTGCAAGTCACACGTGCTGCACAAAGGTGCTTCGAGCCGGTAAATGGGGGCTGTTTGTGTTGGTCGGCTGTGCTCCAGACCCCGGAAAGCGGCGGTGGCCGGAGCTCTGTCTGAATCAGAAATGACTCGACTGAGCCTCCATTTTTATTTGATGATGGCTCGTATGGTTTAACGTGTGTTTAGAGTCGGTTAAAGGGTTTCAGGGTTAGTTCGTAGGGTGTGACTTTCATAGCCTTCGTGTGTTCAGTTAGCAGCATATCCGAGCATGGGGGCAAGATTGCATGCAATGTGAGATGCAGTGAGTTTCCTCGTTGTAACCGATTCCGCACAGTGCCGTGCGTTGCATCTTGCCGAAGTGGTGAAGTGCGTCGTGACAAGCTGTTTGCAGGGCGTGTCGCGGCTACCAGGTTCCCAGGCTCCAAGGTCTGGCGCAAGACTGGCTGGGATCCCTAATTCAATTATTTTAATTCTCAGCGCGGGGGTTGTCCGAAAAAGCAGAGGCCAGTGTCGTGAGTCATGTGAACGCACCCAAATTCCACATGTAACCTGGTTCACATGTCGTTCTTTGCAGGCAGGGAGATGGGCAAGCGTGGTCCACGGCCGCAGCGCCAAGGAAGCTGTCAGGACCCGTGCTGCGTTGGACAGTCAAGTTTAATTAATTTGACAGCGGATCTTGGCTGTCGCCAGGATGATTCGATGCTGCGAGGGACCGCATCGACATCGACCCATCGTCGTCAAGGCCACAAGGTTTAGTTTCAAAGCACCCTGCCCTCATGTACGTTTGTGTTCTACTGCTTCTGGCCTTGAATCTGCCTCGCTGCAGACAGCTCGGTACGACCAGGCATGCTGAGTGAAGAACCTGACTAGAATGAGACCCTCTTTCAGCGAAAGAGAGTCAAGATGCAGGCTCCAAGGCTCCAAGGCTGTGAAATGAAAAGGGGGACCCTGCCTCTGGCTCCCGGCCAAGCCTAACTGTGGTCGAAATGTTTTTTCTTCAACGGGGGACCCTCCGTGGCCTCTGGCTCCGGGCCAAGCCTAACTGTGGTCAAAATGAAAGGGGGCCCCTCCTTGGCCTCTGCCAAGCCTAACTGTGGTCAAAATGAAAGGGGGACCCTCCTTGGCCTCTGGCCCCGTGCCAAGCCTAACTGTGGTCAAAATGAAAGGGGGACCCTCCTTGGCCTCTGGCTCCGGGCCAAGCCTAACTGTGGTCAAAATGAAAGGGGCCAAGCCCTCCTTGGCCTCTGGCTCTCCAAGGCTCCAGAAAGTGGGACCCTGCTTGCCTTTGGCTCTAAAGCAAGGCTCCCAGGCTGCAAGGCTCCAAGAAATGAAAAGGGGGACCCTCCTTGGCCTCTGGCTCCGGGCCAAGCCTAACTGTGGTCAACATGACGAAAGGGTGCCAAGCAAGGCTCCAAGGCTCGCAAGGCAAGGCTCCAAGCTGGCTTTGCGCCAAAAAGCTCCAAGGCTCCAGAAAGTGGGACCCTGCTTGCCTTTGGCTACCGGTCCAAATGTAAAGCAAGGCTCCCAGGCTCCAAGGCTCCAAGAAATGAAAAGGGGGACCCTCCTTGGCCTCTGGCTCCGGGCCAAGCCTAACTGTGGTCCAAGCAAGGCTCCAAGGCTCGCAAGGCAAGGCTCCAAGCTGGCTTTGCGCCAAAAGGCTCCAAGGCTCCAGAAAGTGGGACCCTGCTTGCCTTTGGCTCCCGGTCCAAATGTAGAAATGAAAAGGGGGACCCTCCTTGGCCTCTGGCTCCGGGCCAAGCCTAACTGTGGTCGAAATGTAAGGCAATGCTCCAAGGCTCCAAGGCTACCGAAATGAAAAGGGGGACCCTTCTTGGCGTTTGCGGAGCCCCAAGCCGCCTAGCTGTGGTCGAAATGTAAAGCAAGGCTCCAAGCTCCCTACCTGAAGATGGTGACCCTCCTTGACCTCTGGCTCCGGGCCAAGCCTGACTGTGGTCGAAATGTGAAGCAAGGCTCCCAAGCTCCAAGGCTCCAACCTCCTTGGCCTCTGGCTCCGGGCCAAGCCTAACTGTGGTTGAAATGCAAGGGTTCCGGGCTCCAGGGCTCCACGGCTGCCGGAATGAACAGGGAATGTTGCCTGGTTTGCGATGCAAGCTCTTCGTTGACAGGCTCCAAGGCTCCAAGGCTCTTCGGTACGAGCAGCCAGGCCCCCAGGTTCCGAGGCAATATGCCAATGCGTAGTCCATCCTTAAAGGCCTTCAGCCTAAAGCCCAAAGCACTAGGAGCGGGGCGAGAACCATCCTCGACGCCTGACAACGGCGCAGCTGGACGGCCAAGCCAAGACCAGGACCGAGTAGGGTTTAAGGTTTACGACTACTACTACTACTACTACTACTACTACTACTACTACTACTACTACTACTACTACTACTACTACTACTACTACTACTACTACTACTACTGACTACTAATTTATATTTTATTATTATTATTATTATAAATTATTATTATTAAAATTATTATTATTATTTTTATTATTATTATTGTTATTATTATTAGTATTATTAATATTATTATTATTATTATAATACTACTACTACTACTACTACTACTACTACTACTACTACTACTACTACTACTACTACTACTACTACTACTACTACTACTACTACTACTACTACTACTACTACTACTACTACTACTACTACTACTACTACTACTACTACTACTACTACTACTACTACTACTACTACTACTACTACTACTACTACTACTACTGTGTTACTACTACTACTACTACTACTACTACTACTACTACTACTACTACTACTACTACTACTACTACTACTACTACTTACACTACTACTACCACTACTACTGCTAATACGAACTACTACTACTACTACTACTACTACTACTACTACTACTACTACTACTACTACTACTACTACTACTAGTACTACTACGACTACTACTACTACTACGACTACTACTACTACTACTACTACTACTACTACTACTACTACTACTACTACTACTACTTACTAATTAAATACTAACTACTACTACTACTACTACTACTACTACTACTACTACTACTACTACTACTACTACTACTACTACTACTACCACTTACTATTACTATCACTACTACTACTACTACTACTACTACTACTACTACTACTACTACTACTACTACTACTACTACTACTACTACTACTACTACTACTACTACTACTACTACTACTAAGTAGTGACTACTTACTACTACTACTACTGCTACTACTACTACTACCACTACTACTACTACTACTACTACTACTACTACCACTACTACTACTACTACTACTACTACTACTACTACTAAGACTACTACTTGGCGAGGAGCGGCCACTGGGTCTTCATCGACTTAAGGTGGGCCGGACGTGCATGGTTGTCTTCGCTTTGGCTTCCGGTTGTTGTTGATTCAGGTCCTGCAGTCGACAGAGATCCAGAATGGAGAGGCCGGAGCGTGCTCGGCATGTGCCATTCAGTCATCTCTGATTCCTTTAATGCGAGGCTTCGGTGCCGCCAGCTCTGGCGATGATCCCCGCAGAGGTGTGGCTCCTGCTTATTGACTTATTTAGATGTGTGGGTATTCGTCGCGACATCCAGGCCATGCTGGATCCACGTCTGGGTGTCCCTGAAAAGGCCGACCCGCGACTTGTGCAGTATATTAAATTTTAATTTAATATATAATTATATATATATATATATATATATATATTATAATTATATATATATATATAAATTAATTAAATTATATAATATATATATATATATAATATATATATATATATATATGTTAGAAATATAAAGGGCACTGCCATTGTATGGCCGATCCTGCCTGCTTGGAGGCTATGGTGGAGCCTTCTCCGGATGCACCTGCACAGGTCTGCGATTTATTGTGCAGTATATATATATATATATATATATATATATATATATATATATATATATTATATGGGCACTGTCATTCGTGCATGGTCATTCCCGTGTCGAGGCGATGGTGGTGCCTTCCACGAATGTCCATGCACAGGCCTGCGACTTGCGAATTGTTGGACACTCTATATAGCTGTGATTTGTGCATGGCCCTTACCCGGAGCCAGGTTGTGCCTCCTTCGGCGAATGTCAGTGCACAGGTGCTGCTGGGCACTCACACATGCAGTAATTCTGCCGGGTGTTCCCGATGTGAGGCGATGGTGGCTCCGCCTTCGACGGATCTCGCCGCAGAGGTGGGGCTGCATGCTTCCGATTGATCTTAACTGCCGCTGTAGACCTGCATGCATGGGACTGCACATTCAATCAAGCGATACCTTGCTGTGCTGCAGACATTAGCTGTTCTGACGAGCCCCGCTTTCCTGGAAAGTGGATGCATCACGACTAGGTCAGACTAGGTAGTGGCTCCAAGGCTCCGACAGGCTGCCAGGCTCCAACATGTCAAAGCTCAGTCTAACATGTCATATAATAGTAGGCTCCCAGGCTGCCAGGCTGCAACATGTCAAAGCTCAGTCTAACATGTATTATAGGCTCATAGGCTCCCAGGCTCCCAGGCTTTAGGGATCAACATGGGGCCCAAGCCCAAGAAAATGCCTCGTGACCGCTCTGCTTCCCGCACCCCGCGCCGGTCAGCGGTCAAAGCCAGTGCCAAGCCAGCCAGTGCCAAGCCAGCCAGTGCCAAGCCGCACCCGACCCTGTCCTCTGATGACTCCGACGAAGACCTCCTTCGATCCACTGATGAGGAGACCGGTGGGCCGCCGGGCACTGGCAGTGGCACCAGCGCTCCGAGGGGACCACCACCTCCAACGCCTGTTGTCTCTCGCGGACCACCCCCTCCAACGCCTGGTTGCTCTCGCAGACCCGCCACAGATTCTGAAGGACCACATGGACCGCCGGCACCGACACCTGCCACTGCATTTTTTGTAGGACCCGGTGGAAGTGGACATAGCGGAGGTGTGACTCACAGCTTCACTGCCCCGGTAACCCCGGTACAGGCGTTCCAACTGGCCTCCAGGGCGATCACGGCATCCTCTCCTCCGACGACCTCGACTTCCTCTGGTGGGTCCCTGGTCATCAGTCTTCCGCACAACTTGGAGTACCCAGTCGAAGTCACCATCCGATCAGACCCTAG